TAATCTTTCACTAAAAAGGCCGTAATTTCCTCATACGATAGTGAAATGACCCGATTCTTTTTTGTAAATGTCTTAAATAATGATACGGACCTGTTCGTTCAATCGGAGCTCAATTTCATGCTCGTTTGCCCAGTCAAATATCATTTCTACTCGGTAAATAATTATTTCTTATTTGCGATAAAAGTCCAATCTCGGGTTAGCGAAAATGCACCAAAATTTGCAGATAAGTCCTATAATTCATGCTCAAAATTTCAGAACCTTCGGAATAATTTTTCGACCTTTAAAACTAATAATGAACCCTTTAGTTGCCACAATTTGCTGAAATAGTGTCAAAGCATCCAAGAAGCTTAAAAGCTCACCCAAAACTCATTTGGCACTTCCCGAACACAAACCAAATATGCTACTAGCTTGAAAATGACATTTCGGACTCAATGAAATCGTCGGAATTTGAATTCGAGGTCTCCTTGACCCGGTATCCGATAAGGCGTCAAGAAACTAACTTTAGGCTCAAAAACTCGAAACGCACTCGGGGCCTCTAAAAATTCCACCAAGACTCATTCTAGACTTAGAATCACCCCCTGAATCCAACGGTGCCCTCGGAATTCCATTTCGAGCACCGGAACCTCGTTTGTTGACCAAAGTCAACTCTTGATCAAAATTTCACAATTTTTGTAACTTAGGACCTCAAATCTTCGTTTTAACTCCAAATTCGACTCCGTAAATTCTCATAGACCCGTTTCGACATTCTAAAACTGCTGGAATCGACGGAAATTCGATTCGAGTCTCGAAACTCCAAATGACTCGAAATAGCACTTTTAACCAAACTTTAACTCTTAAAAACTCAACTTTCCAAAAACTCAACTTTTCATCAATTTTCCTTCAAACCAACTTCGAAAGTACATTAATTAGGACTCGGGGCAACTATCGGGAGGGGTAAAACGGTCATTTTATGAAAATTTCCAAAAATGACCTTTAGGGTCATTACATTATTCACCACTAAAAATCATGTTCGTCCTCGAACATAAAGTAGAAGAAGGCAAAAATACTCGACGCTCTCAACCCCGAGGTGAAATTTCCGAACTCAATAATTACTACTCCAAACGAACCCATTCTTAAACCTTATCCCAAAAATCCCTAAAAAGGATTCCCAAATCAATCTTGACAACTTAACCCTCAAAGGGTTATTTCAAACCACCGACTAACTCATAGACTGAATCTGAATCTAAGATCTCAAGACCACAACATATTTACCATGACAAACCCCTAATCATGTAACCACGAGAGAAATTTCGGAATCAATAACCACAGAAAAATCAAGGATGAACCTAAATCAATCACCAAGCTCTCACAACACACGAACCATCACCGACTCTAGAAAAAAATTCCATTCCCATTACCACATCTCCACAAGTCTGAGTCATACTAATCTGATGCATATCCATCGAGCACCCATTTTGGAATAATCACGCTTATCTAACCCACAGATAGAAATGATCAAGTATCCAACTGATGATCGACTCATCCAAGCATATAAACCTCTAAGGATGCCACCAAAACACTGAAGTAGGATCCGTAATTGTAGACAACTCCAGCAACGGAAGAACTAGGCCCATGGGCCACCTAAGCATCGAACCACACCTAGTTGAACCTTGCATACAGGGGCAAGATAAATACCAAAATAGCCAACAACTGTAGCCATATACGGTAGCCTCTCTATACCTTTCCAAAAGCAAGATGACACTTGTAGAACTTCCGAAAACCTTCCACCACCCTAATACCACATCGAACCCACTATCTCTGAATCGGCCCACCCACACAAGTATTCTATTCTGTTAAGAGAGCATGAATCGGTCCATCCGATTCACCACTAGGCATTCATCCACAAAGTAAAAACACGTCTGAACATAGACAGAGAATCATAATCCAAAACCATGTCTAAAATGAGGTAGGTGGTCACATAAGAATATACAAAACCGAAATTGAACAACCCAAGATATCCCTTCCACGATGTCCATAACACACCTTCCCATTCGTCTGACTTCACAATCAGCCAGTCCGGCCTCATAACAATCATAAACATACTCAATTTATCCATTTTCTCATACTCTTTACAATAATCCATTAAAGCCAACAATATTAATACTACCAGAACATCATAGTCACAGCCGCCAGTTACTTTACCCTCAGACACCCACTAGTATCCAGTCATTCTTAGAAGAGATATATGTTTGAAGTTGTGGAGAATTATTAATACCTTTGATGGTTTTATGGACTCTTATTATGCCAGAGATTTTGATAAAAAGGATCACTCACAGGCTATAAATTTTGTATTGGTGGTTGTGTTGGTTGCTGGAAGGTGCCATTACAACATCTTGTAACATTATCTATTATGTGGCTATATATATGGCTATGGCTGAGGCGATTAAAGAAGTTTTGAGGTTAAAGGGTTTGTTTGACCAGCTTAGTCCATGTCGGGTGTAATTACTATTTATTTTCATTGAGTTGGTATCAGTTAGAAATATGAAATACTTCAGGGTCTTCTGCTTTGTTTTTAAGAAATTGCTGTTGAAATTTCTTCTGTTCTCTTGATATATCAATTCTATTCATTTTTTAAATTAAAACTGCAATGTTTTATTTGCTTATTTTCAGTTGTTCTGAAGTCTTTTAGTGCCACATTATCATTGTCTAATTTATGATTCATGACTCTAAACTAATTAAAATCTGTAATACAAGATCATTTTGTCCATCACATACTGTGCCAACTTCTGGTCGCTCACTTAAACAGTTATTCTGATATTTACTGCAGGAGTTGGAGGCTATGCGTATTTGCTTGAACCACTTTGGTGGACAGGCATGATATCAAGTGAGTAAATCATGAATTGTCTCAATGCCTTAACCCACTTTTCGGATAATGAATGTATTGGTATTGTGTGGTTTGGATTTTGATGAAAATTTTGGATTTGGATTATGTAGTGATCGTTGGGGAGGTGGCCAATTTTGTGGCTTATATTTATGCTCCAGCAGTTCTGGTGACCCCTCTTGGTGTTTTGAGTATAATTATCAGGTATGATTTTTGAACTTTATGAACTGTTTGTACGCTCTAATAATGAAACATGAGTGGTGTTGACAAAACTTAGCTTGGTGAATTTTTGAATAGTGCTATTTTGGCGCACTTTCTGTTGAAAGAACGATTGCAAAGATTGGGTGTACTGGGATGCATTTCGTGCATCATGGGCTCAGTGGTTATTGTTATCCATGCACCTCAGGAGAATATGCCAGCTTCTTTAGAAGAAATCTGGATTTTGGCAACTCAACCAGGTTTGAATTTTGTGTCTTTAGCATAAATGTTTTTCTGTTTACCATAGGTCATCGCACTTATAGAAGTAATTACTTATTTCTTCATTACTGCCTCTGTCTGCAGCATTTTTGGCTTATGTAGCTGCAACTTTATCGGTGGTGCTAGCTTTGATTTTGCATTTTGAGCCTCGCTATGGGCAGACAAATATACTGGTTTATTTGGGAATCTGTTCCTTAATGGGTTCATTCACGGTAATTTGTTTTCTTTTAAGCTACCATTCTTAGCTGCAATGTGGACACAACTGTTTCTGTATGTGGTGCGGTTTGCATATATCAACAGTTTGCTACCTTGTCCAGAGATTGGTTGCTGTAGTTTTTTCATGGTTCTTTGCAGATTGTCAGCATAAAGGCTATTGGAATTGCAATAAAACTTACTTTGGAAGGAATAAGTCAAGTTGCTTATCCTCCGACATGGTTTTTTCTTTCTGTTGCAGTGATATGCGTCATCACACAGCTAAATTACCTTAATAAGGTAATACTTTATCTATAGAGTAGAATGGATAAAGGGGATTTGAGAAGCCGACCCCAACTAATTTGTGATTGATTTGTTCTGAATTGATGTATTCTTATCAACCTATCAAGCCTTTGCTTGCCCATATCCGAGAGTAGTTTAGATCATACATCTATGATCTATGTGCATATTTTCTATCATTCATTTAGATTTAGATATTAAAGTAATTATTCTTCTTTATGCACTCCTTCTATTGGTGCTAATTTTATCATAGTGTGTCTCGGTATTTGTCAGAAAGATAAAGTGTAAGGTTGATAATGAGAATTGATACCTACTATGCTAGAACGTTCTTCAGAACTGCAGACTTTGTTTATGTTTCTTTCAGGTTTTTGTAATTTGGAAATATAATTCAGCTTAAGATTTATTTTTGATGAACGTCATTAGATGCCCATGAATAGTTTAATGTCCACCTTGCACAGTCCTCTAGGAATGCCTTTTCTCATCCTATGTTGAGAAACAGGGTATCACAGTTCAGTTCCTTGAGTCACTTGTTGGTCTTTCTTAAAAGCTTAATGATTGAGCAGCATAACTTTGGATATCTCAAACAAGTAGTTCCGTTTTCTAATATAGCACAATATTCTGGTCTATTGTCGTGTTAAATTTTCCTAATTAGCTGATTGGGGGATGCATAATTGATTGAACAACCTTTTGACTGCTGCTGGACGACTAAAAAATTAGTTGGTTTGAAATGTGTACTATTAACATGAGATGTGTAATTTTGTTTTGGAGTTTATGACATGCATGATTGTTATGGGTCATTCAAGGTGGTACCCTTTGGGGAGTTTAAAAACATTTCTGATATCTATACATCCTTTGATAGGCACTGGATACATTCAACACTGCAATTGTTTCTCCAATATATTATGTAATGTTCACCACAATGACCATCATCGCAAGTGCAATAATGTTCAAGGTATTCTGTCAATTGAAGCTCTTCTTCGTTATGGTCCTCTATGAATATGGTACAGGGTATTATGAATAGTCATCTCACTTTGCAGGACTGGGCAGGACAAAGTGCCAGCGACATAATTTCTGCGATATGTGGATTTATAACTGTACTTTCAGGAACAGTCATGCTCCATGTCACTAGAGAGCAGGACCCAGTTCCTTTGCCAGGTATGGATTAGACTAAAGTTTACTGGAAGTTCTTATCCTCACATATTATATATGTTCATTCTAGATACAGTGCTACCTTGCCTATTATCTACAACAAGGATGTCATCACATCTTTCTGTTGCACTCCTTTAAAAAACAGATGTTGAACTAGGCGTGATTACTGCTACTTCTGCGTTCCTTTGTAGTTTGGTGCATCATCACCAAGGGAGAATATATTTTACAGTGTCATATTATTTGATTTATTGACATACTCGCTAGCTATTCCATTTGGGATGATCGCCAAGCCTCTTGAACACATTTTTGACAGACGCATACATGTGTACTTTGTTAAATTAGGTCTTAGGCCTAACTCACACCCCAAAAGCTAGCTCAAAGGGAGGAGGATTGCCCAAGCCTTATAAGGAGTCCACCCATCTCATTAACCACCGATGTGGGACTTTTGTCATTCTTTAACACCCCACCTCACGCCCAGTGCTTAGCATCTGGTACGTGGGCAATTTTGATTTTGGGGGCCCCAACATCGGGTGAGACGGGCCCTGCTCTGATACCATGTTATCACACCTCTCCCACTGTTGAAAACTAGGATCATCTAGATTGGGCCTTACTATTTTTCCATTGATAAAACCTGTTTTACTCTTAACAGATAAAGCTCTAAGAACAGCTCTCCTCCAAGATCTATAACCAGTGCCATCGAAAACTCCAGGCAATAGGGATGAACTTGCATTCTCAGAAGGATGCAAATAGAAGGGACTGGCAACAATATCCATTTTGTTAGAGATAAACTTCAGCAAGGCTTGATCACTCTCCACCACATTTCCACTGATTCACAACTGGCAGATATCCTCACAAAGGCTCTTACTGGAGTAAAACATGCTACATTATTGAACAAGTTGTCTGTAAATACATTTCCTTCCAACTTGAGAGGGGGTGTTGAGAATATAGGTCATTTATAACACATTTTAGTTAATGCAGTTAGTTAAAAGTTAGTTAGTCAGAATTAGTTAGAAAGTTTGTTAGTTTGTTACTAGTCTAAAATGTGTATATAATGATCAATTGTACAGTTTCAGTTCTTTTAATTCACATTCAATGGAATATAATTTTCATGCAACTCTTCTAGATTCTTCTTCTTCTTTCTTGTGAGCTCAAGCTCCATCAATGGAGGAACTCAATTGATTAGCAGCAATCTGTGCTGATTTTCTCTTGTTTCTAGGACGAGGTACGACCCTTGGGTGGTCATGATTATATTGGGAACTAATGACTTCATGATGAGTCAAAGGAAATGGGCAACAATAAGCCATGGATGAAGAAAGTTTTAACAAGCATACTTGTGTAAAGACAATTAAGGAGTTTAGCGAGAAGGTACGATTAAAAAAGAATCGGGTTGGTTTTGTCAAGATGTGGGTTGGCAAGGTAAGAGATGATTGGTTGTATACAAACATCATAAAAACCAAAATATTTTTTTGTTTTTTTGAAAATATAGTAGAAACAACTAAAACAACTAACAATTTATTTATTTTTAGAAGAACGTAAAACAAAAACACAAAAACCTTTTTTTTTTTGGAAAACTAAGTAGAAACAACTAGCAAATTTTTTTATTTTTTTATTTTGAAAAGAACGTAAAACAAAAACACAAAAACAAATTATTATTTTTTGAAAACCAAGTAGAATCGAACAAAAAAAAAATCACGTTTCATCAAACACTTACCAACGGCCCCTGCACCCAATGATGGCCAAGAAATCTCTTTCGGCTTGAAGATCATCGCCAAAACTAACGGTTCTTTTGATGCTTTCAATGGCGATCCTCGCTGCCTTTCTATCTTTATCTCTTTTTCTCTTCGAGTTGGCTTTATCTTCTTGCAATTGCTTATCCCACAGTGCAGCCTTCTTCTTCATCTCTTCTTCATCATACGCGTCGCCAAGAACTTGTTGTTGGGACTTCACGATTATATGTGCATAGCGCTTCTTCAACATTGCAGCCCGAAGAAGTTGTTGTTGGGACTTTTCCAACGTCTTATCCTTCTCTGTGTTCATAATGTAATGTAACAATGAACAAACTAATTAATAAAAGCTGAATTTTGATAGAAAGAAAGTTGATCGAAGAGAAGATATATGTACGTAGAAAAATTACGCTTTCCTATTATTTTTTTTGGAAATGGTTTATGAAAAAGTTTCCTAAACTAATAAACCAAAATACCAAATATGGTAACTTTTAGAAACGTGTAATTTTATTTTATTTTCAAACCTGAAAAGTTTTTATTATTTTCAAGCATGATAAAATTAATGTAAATTTTAATTCAAGTAAATTCAAGGTAGTCCATTTATGATTGTTATTATTTAAATATGTGTGAGTTAAATATGTAGTTAATTAGTTTCACCATCTCTTTTATTCTTTATTAATTTTGCTTATAGACTTTTAATCTTGATTTTCATTAACGTAATAGTTTCTAAACACTAATTTTGGATATATTTAAAATACTGATAAGAGGCTTACCATCTGAGCAACCCTCGTAGGTTTGTGGAGTAACTACCGCTCCAAGACTACAAACCTACAACTTATCATGAATTTCTTTAATTCCGATTTGATTTCCCAAACAACTTTAACAATTTCTTATGATCTCACCAATTACAAACAATGTAAATGGCGGCAAAAATAATACTCTATATGATTACAAGTATCATATACTATTATATACGTACAAATATCAATCTTTAATCTACCATCGACTTGGAGCACTAATAATGGCCAACAAATCTCTTTCCGCTTCAAGATCATCCTCACAACGCAGCCTTCTTCTTCGTCTCCTCTTCATCAAATACTTCACCAAGAACTTGTTGGGATTTCATGATCATGTTTGCATATCGCTTCTTCAACATCGCAGCCCGAAGAATCTTGTTATCTTTTTCCAACGTGATCTTATCATTCTTCGTCCTAGAATCATATGAAAGAATCGTCATAACTATAACAATGAACAACCTAAATAACCCTAAGCTAAAATTTTGATAGAAAGAAGTAAATCGATATATGAGTGTAGTAAAGAGAAGATATATATACATGCAAAATTACGCTTTCCTATTTTTTATTGTAAATGGTTTATGAAAAAAAATTGCCTAAAATATTAAACAAAATATAGTAACTTTTAGAAACGCGTATTTATTTTGTTTTTTAAGACCTGATTTTTTTTTTAATTATTTCACCTTTGATCAAATTAATGTAAATTTTAATTTAAGTATATTCAAGGTATAGCTAAAGTATTCTAGTCCGTTAATGATTGTTATTTAAATATTGTTTGAGTTAAATATATAGTTAATTAGTTTCACTATCTGTTTTCATTCTCTATTAATTTTGAATATAGACCTTTTAATCTTGATTCATTATCGTAATAGTTTTTAAACACTAGTTTCGAATTTGTTTAAAGTATTTAAGAATTTGTTATAAAGTCTATGCGTCTTTTATTTTATTATGTACATTAATTAAATATAGATTTAAAAAGCGTTAAATTCTTTTTATGATGCCCATTCTTTCATTATTTACGCTGTTTACCTACACGTACGTTTGATTACTAAGTTTCCTTTTCTTTTTTTTACATCACACACGCAAAAAATTGTTCTATAGGTAAGTTCAAAACATTTACGGGGAAAAAAAGTCTTATTTTTGGTATTAAAAGCTGCATAATTAATACAATATCTAGTTTATGAAAGAAAAAACTTTTTACATGGTTAATTAATACACCTTTCTATGGGCCAGCACAAAGATTAAGAAAATATTTTTCGGGCAATACATAAGTAGCTACCATTCTGATGAAATATTGACAATTAGCTAAAAATCAAAAGACATATTGTAGCCAAAATGAATATTATACACACTATATGTACATTTATTATACACACTATATATACATTTATTATACACATTATATACTCTCTAAAGCAGGTAAGGATTATTCGGAAAAAAATGGAGATCATCAAAAAAGTTTATTTCGCCTAATTTTGTATCAAATGAGAATATCAAATTAATTTTTTTGAAAAAATCTTTTAAAAATTATAACTATTTTTTTAGAATGGAAAATTACGCGGATAAGCAAACATATACAAGTTAATTAGTTAACATAGGCATAACTATAATTTGAATTAATTACGGCTCACAACTTACTTTTAACTATAATTTCGTCACTTATACATATACAAATACAAATTAGACATTTGTATACATACAATTATATAACAGATATACAACAACAATTATCCTCTTTCCACTCTTTGCCCTCTCTCGCTCTTTTCTCTCTCCCGATCTCGCTCACCAGATATACAAATACATATGTATAGCAATTACATATATACAATTATCTTACATATATACATATACAGTTCGTCTCTCTCCTCTCTCTTCCAATCTCGCTCACCTCTCTCCTCCTCTCTCCCAATCTTGTTCGACAGATTTACAAATACATATGTATATCAGTTACATATATACAATAATTTGACAGATATACATATACAATTCGACAAATATACATATACAATTTGCCTCTCTCCACTCTTTTCCCTCTCTCGCTCGCCTCTCTCCTCCATCTAACATGTAGTTACGAATCGTTATTAACAAACTATAGCTATGGAGTATAATTAAGTTATTTTTAAATGGTTATATGCGAAAATTCCTATTTATAGAATGACCAAATTGAATAGAGTGTGACATAAATTTGTATGCGACAGTAAAAGCATTATTTTACATAATGTTGCATGACAATTTCTATATTGTCACTCACTACATAACATAAATAACATCCCAATTCAATCCCCAAACAAGAGTTGTTGGAATTTCTTATTCAAAATTCAAATAAGTCGAGTACAAAATGATCACAAATACAATACACACTTCAACTCACTTTTTCCTTAAAATGAAGACATCCATGATCAACAGATCATATGGAATTGGCTAACCCCTTCTAAGAACCTTTTTTTTTCTTTTTCATTTTGTTCTTTTATTCTTTTTTTAAATCATCAAAGATGACTTTTATACAACCATTAGACTAAACAGAGCCATGTAGTTGTTTCTCATTCTTTGTCAACTACAGAAAGCAGAGGAACATTGACATTGTCACCACAATTAACAAATTGGTAGTTCACAATAAGGTGTCCTTGTTGATTTCCTACTCCATCTGTATCGATTTGTTGAAAAACGTTAATGTCCAAATCTAGTCCGCCGTTGCTGCATTGATCCACGATTCTCACCGTCGTTTGAGCTCCTGTACGTGTATTTGTCACCTGTATACATAATTTGCGATGGTATTAGTTGAGTAATATTATTTAGAAACTATGTATTAATAAGATGATAGTATTAACTTTGACATTCAAAAGTCAATGATCATTACTTCAGACTCTTTTAATGAGTTACGCTATCACAAAATAAGCCTAAAAACTCTTATTAATATTAAACATCTCAATACTAGAACTACTTTCGTATTGCTAAACAAGGAAACTTTCTGTTCCCTTTGTTTGAATAAACACTGCTTGTTTCCTTCTAATTTATATTCAATCCAAAGTATACCAAATTAGTATTGATGGAAATGAAACTCTCAAAATAATTTTGAATAAATTATATAACAATCGCTTTCTTTGTGACTGGTTTTTGTTGTAAAAGTCAAGTTAGATCTAATTACACAGAAAGTCTAGGAACATATACTTCAATTACCAAAAACAAAAAAACTCATCAAATTAATTACTCTATCAATTTGACCAAAACCAGTGAATGTTGACCAGTACTCATTCAAACTCATAGTTGTAAAGCAATCTTACTTGGGAAAAATACATTTGTTATCCTGATTATGATTAGGACCTTGCTACGAATAATTAAATCTCAATATATACTTTATTCGTTGTTTCTGATAACTCTTTAATTTTAACTTTTCTCAACTAAAAATAAAAACGGAAGGATGTAGCTAGTATATCTTACCCTTAAGCACTTTCCGCACGAGTCACGACCACGAGGTCCGACTGGACCACAAAAAGCAGTCCAACCATACTTACTCCGCCAGGCGTAAGGCTTATTAGCATCCCAAGTAGAACAGTAAGCGCTAACAGCATTCAAATCCCACCCAACATTCTGTGGGTTATATATATGATATGTTGCACGAACGTTTTGCGCGCTGCCCCCTTGGCCTGGATCTGGTCCACTTCCAGTACACTGGCTCTGGCAACCTTGGCTAGGTGAACAATATTCGGGTGTCGATCCACACCACCCGAATTGGCTGCAACATAAGTTGTTGCCACATAACGCTCCTCCCCTTTGCCTTCCGCACTGCTGTGCGTTGGCAACTGAGGTTAGGCTGATGCAAAGAACCAGAGCTAGTAAAATAGGACCACAACTTAGCTTAACCATTTTTTTTTATCCAAAAGTGTATTGATCTACGTTTGATCTATAATAGATTCGGGGGTTTTATAGGTCTTTATTTATGTATTTATTTTGGTTGTGTCCCTGAAATTTGGGTGCTTGCAGCTGCTATACTTTTAATTAATACTATATTCGTCCATTTTTAATTGTTATAGTTTTTTTTTAAAAGTTAAAACTATAAAAACTTTGACTATCATTTTACGATGTATATTTTCATCATATTGATATGCAAAAAATTGCATTTTATAATATTTTTCGTATGATTTTTGAATATTTAAATTTTTTATTTAAAATATCAAATTAATGTAATCTAATTTAACTTTGAAAATTAATCAAATTGACTTCTGAAAAACGTACCATTACAAATAAAAATGGACAGAGGGAGTAGGTGTTATTTTTTAGAATGTCAAAACTTTATGCCGTAGGATAAGATCAATAATTATATGTCATATGCTTTCTCCATTTCAATTTGTCTGATTTTGATAAGACATAAATAAGGTATTTAAATAAATAAAAAATATTTTTAAATTTTATAATTTCAAAAAATATTTGATAAGGAGCAATTTTCCTAAATAAAGCTTTATACAATGGAAATTCAAATACAATTGAATTCTAATATGAATGTCGAACACGAATCGAAAAAAAAACCATAAAAACTAATGGCGGCTTTTAGAAGTGCACGACTTGAGGCGGCTATTAACAAAAAAAAAAAAATTGTTGGACAGCGTCGTTTCTGATAAGTATCTAGAAAAAGTCCTCCTCGTTGAATTAAAAAAAGGGACCTTTAAGAAAGCCAAACTTTAAATACACTTCGGTGTCCCTATGGTCACGTGATATTTTTTTTCTTTTATTTTTTTGTGATCTCTATTTTAAAAAAATACATCAAACCTTCATTTTTTACTTGATATGCGTATGTTTGATCCATCTACTTATGAAATTTTTGTATAAATTTAATGAATAATTACATACTAAATCATTTAAGTGCCAATATAGTATGTCAATAATTATTTTATATTTGATTATGATATAGTTTTTCAAATAAATAAATCAAAATTATATATCTATATAATGAGAAAAGGCAAATATTTTAAATAAAAACTAAAATTAAAATTAAAATACAGTAGGAATAATTAAGAGACAAAGTACCTTTCTTAAGTTTATTTCTACTTCTGACCCACAAATGCGTTGATAATAGAGGTATAGCTGAATAAATGAGGCTAGCAGACCAGTTTTTGGAATTATGCTTATACCTCCACACAAATTATGAAATTTAATATTACTACTCATAAATTTGCATCTTATCCTATTTGTTTGTCTCTATGATGCACGAAGTTTGAAATTTTTATATATGAGTGTTACATTAATTAAGAAGAAAGTATTCAATGCAAATAAATTTATATATATTTAGATAAACAACTTATAATTTAATTAAGTGTACCATAAAATATTTGGAGCATTAACATTGGTTAATAATATCATATCTAACCCCAACACACACATACTCTATTTCGGTCTACCTTTACTTTTCCTAACTTCTACTATAAGTCTACAACCAACCTCTCACTAACGCATCTTTACACCTCCTCTTTACATATCTAAATCCAGTGGCGGAGCCAGAATTTTTAATAAGGGGGTTCAAAATTTGAGAAGTAAACACACGAATTAGGGGAAGGGGATTCGACATCTATTATACATACCTAAAAAATAATTTTAACCATATATAAATAGTAGTAATATTTTCCGCCGAGGGGTTTCGAACCCCCTAAGTATATGTTGCCTCCGCCCCTATCCGAATCATCTAAGTCTTGCTTTCCCTCCTCTTCCCAGAAATTTATTGTTTCCTTTTCATTTTATATGAGCATAATGTCTAATTCTGGACATTTTTCAAAATATTAGAAACTATTTTACATTTATATATATATTCTTTAATTATTATATATACGGCATATTAAATCTTAGTTTTGTGTTCGATTAATATCATTGCATTAATTAAATAAAACAAACGAGGGACTTTAATTTGTTGGACGTGACTTGTATCAATTCACTTTTCTAAAATGCAGAAAGAAATAACTTTATTATTATTATTATTATTTTCATTTCATACTTTTAACATTTATTTGGGTAGTCAAACATGAATCTTATAATTCTGTGTCAACTATAAGATTAATTATCACCACAATCAACAAACTGGTAGTTCACAATAAGATGGCCTTGATGATTTCCATTTCCGTCTGTGTCGATTTGTCGAAAAACGTTAACGTCCAAGTCTAGTCCTCCGTTACTACATTGATCCACGATTCTTACTGTCGTTTGAGCTCCTGTACGTGTATTTGTCACCTGCACATATATATAAAAGTCAGTTTGAACGAAAACTTGGTTATTATAATGAAATATTGTTATATAAATAGATCGTACGTACCCTTAAGCACTTGCCACAGGAGTCTCGACCACGAGGTCCGACTGGACCACAGAAAGCAGTCCAACCATATTTCTTCCGCCAGGATAAAGGCTTATTAGCATCCCAAGTTGAGCAGTAAGCACTAACAGCATTCAGGTCCCACCCAACATTCTGCGGGTTGTATATATGATACGTTGCACGAACGTTTTGGGCGCTACCAGATGGAGTTGGGGTTGATCCACCAGTACCAGTGCAGCGGCTCTGGCAACCTTGGCTAGGTGAACAAAATTCGGGTGTTGACCCACACCACCCGAATTGGCTGCAACACAAGTTGCCGCTGCATAAGGCACCGCCCTTTTGTCTACCGCATTGCTGTGCGTTGGCAATTGCGGCGATGCTGAAGAGGAACAAAGATAACAAAATAGTACTATTACTAATTAGCTTCACCATTTTCTCGAAAGAGTTAATTAGTAGTATAATTTGATCTTATTACTTGCGGGTTTTTATAGAACCTTTTTTCAAAAGTGATAGCTAATAGCTACTTAGACTGAATTAATTAGTTTGACAACTTGAGTTGGAAATTTGGGATATTAAGCTAGCGTTTGGCCATAGATTTCTAAATATTCTTGGCAAATATTATTTGGGTGAAAATTTGGGTGAAATTTCACTATGTGTTTGGCCATAGTATTTGGGAAATATATTTCACTTTTTTAGAAAAATGTGATTTATACCCATAAGTTTTAAAAACTATCAAAACTAACCATAAGTTTGTATTACAAGTCAATTGAATCTTCGTTGCAACAATAACAAATAGTGCTCATGACACTAGAGCAATGTGGTAGTTTGGAGTGAGTGCAACAAGCATCATTCCATAAATCGTTAAGTAGACAAAGCACATGACTTTGTTACCATTAGCCTATTGTTCATCATTTTCATCAACAACCATATCATCATTTAATATTCACTAAATATTTCATCACTACTTTGGTGTTCACGTGAAAAATTATGTAATACGACACAAACAACTACTATAGAGGATGTTTTTGTAAAAGATAAAAGTTTGGGGTAAAATTTTAATTTTCAAAAGATCCCAAATAATGAGATTT